GGGCCCTGGAGCCCTGCTAGTCCCCTTCCCCAAAAAAGCCATCACAGAATCACATCCCCGGAATAATGGGTGCCCATTCCATCTCTCCCCCATGTCACACCCCGTGAACGGGTAGAATGGAGGATGCAGGGCCCTTCTGAGCCTGGGGCTTACACTTGACCCGAAGCTGGGAGGACGTCTGGGACTCGCCAATAGCGAAGGAGATGATGCCTGCATCCTGGCGGGTGACGTGCACCAGCACCAGGAGGTGCGTCCTGCCGAAGCTCTTCAGAACAGTGCGGGGGGATTCCCGCAGCCGCAGCCCATCCCGGCTCCAGGAGGTCCCCTCCACCGCCTCCCGCGTCTCCACGCAGAAAACGGCGTTCTCCCCCTCCATCACATCAAGCTTCCGTGGCAGCCGCTTTGTGATCACCCCTACGGGAAGAGATACATGAGGGCCAGGGAGGAATTCTGGGGAGCAGGTTGTGCTCCCTGAGGTGGGAGAGAGAAGGAGGAGGTTGAGGACGGGCAGCAGCAGGCACCACAGCCAAACAGCAGAAAGGCAGATGCAGGGGGCAGTGAGGACTATGGCAGGGAGGGGGATAGGAAGGCAAAGACATGGTGCTAGGGACCTGACCCACACCTCGGACAGAGACCTCAGCGATGCTGCGCCCCTTGTCCTTCATCTGGCACAGGTAGATGCCATCGTCGTCGGTGCGGGCATCGCGGATGGTCAGGCGCCGCACCAGGCCTCGTTCCTCCATCACGTACTTGTGGCTGGGCTGCAGCTCCTTGTCCTCCAGGTACCAGGTAGTGGGGATGGTCTCCAGTGGCACCTGGCACTCCAGCACAGCATCCTCCCGCTCTGCCACCTCCACATCTGCCAGCTGCACCTGGAACAGCAGCCGGTGCTCTGCCATGGGGAGAGATGGGTGCTGAGGGCATGCGGGGCACAACACCCACCAGCAGCACTTCGCTCGGGGTGTTCCCAGATCTCAAAGAGCACCGAGCCTTTGGCCCACTCTGTCCCTCACCTTTTTGGCCCATGTGGAACGGACACCGCCCCAGGAATCGCATCCCCCAGCATGAGGGGAACCCAACCACTAGCTGGGGACACCCAGTGATGGCCCCAGCATGTGAGCAGGGTGTTTTGGGGGATGCAGGAGCACGCACACCAGCATGCCATGCAGCAGAGGATAGCAGCTAGGTGCAGGCAGGGGATGCACCAAGTGCTGGGTCACCCCAGCCACGCACTGTCCCCAGCTGGCAGGGTGGCTCCTGGGGATGGGACTGCCACCAGCGCAGACGCTTGGAGCCATGCCCTGCAGAGCTGCCTGCCAAAAACACTTGGCACTTCCAGGGGAAATTGTCACCAAGGCACTGTCCCCCTCCCTGCTCGTGGCTGGACATCCACAGCCGTCCAGAGATGCCACCTCTCTGCATGGTGAGAGGGGCACACAGGGGGACACAGCTCCCTGAGGGAACCCAGCATCCCCTGCTTCCAGCCCGCAGCTCTGTCTAGAGGAGCCTGGCGTGACCTTGGCTGCACAGGGCAAGAGCGAGCCCAGGGATGCTGGGCTCACACACAGATGCATCCCTGCCAGAAAAAAAAAAAAAACTGGACTCCCCCAGTACCTGGCCACCTCCAGCAACTGGGCACACTCCTACCTTTCACCTGGAGCTGCACGGCGCTGAGGGTCTGGCCAGCGGTGTTGGACGCAGTGCAGACATACAGCCCCTGGTCCTGGGCTTTGCAGTACAGCACCTTGAGGATGAAGTAGCCCTCTCGGTCCTCGTAGATGAGGTGCCTGCGGCCAGGGGTGAGGGGCTCACCGTCCTTCTGCCAGACAATCTCTGGCTTGGGCTTGCCGGTAACGTAGCAGCGAAACTTGGCGTGCTTCCCCACACTCACAGCAAACGCCTTGGCCCTCGGCACCCTGGCCAGCACTGTGCCGTTGGGCACCCAGGTCTCTGGTCCTGCACACCGACCCACTGTGTGCCGCCGCTGCCGCCACTCCCTCACTGCCAGCCGCTCGGGGCGATCAGCAGGAGAAACATTGGGGATCCCATCTGGCGGTGCCCGGGGTTCCACCAGGAGCACGGCGGCAGCCAGGGCCTCCTGGGAGCCACTGCGTGCCCGGCACACATATACCCCCCCGTCTGGGGGCCGGGCACTGAACAGCTTCAGGAAGTGCCAGTCCTCCTTCTCCTGCCCCACTGTGAAGTGGCTGCTTTCAAAGAGGTCAGAGAGCTTGTGTCCATCCTTCTCCCACTCCAGCACCGGGCAGGGCTGCCCAGACACCCTGCAGGTGAACGTCACGTCCTCCCCCCGGCATACCCATGTGGACAAGGGGGCAACAAGGAAGGCAGGTGCCCCACTGCCCGAGCATCCCTCCTCCTCTTGGGGCTCCCCGACTTCCACCTTGAGCGTGGTGGCAGCGTAGGTCTCACCAATGCTGTTCTTGGCCTTGCAGATGTAGAGCCCACTGTCCTGGGGAGTGGTGCGGGACACCAGCAGGCTGTGCAGGTCCCCCTTGGCCTCCACATGGAAGCGGCCAGAGGGCTCGATCGGAGTCTTGTCCTTCTCCCAGAGAATGCTTGGCGGGGGGTCGCCAGTGATCTGGCAGCTCAGGACCGCGTCGGTGCCACTTTGCACCGTGAAGGCGCGTGGGTAGGCCAGGAACCTGGGGGCTCCCCCGAATCCCTCCATCGCCACCTCCCCAGGGTCACAGCAAGCGGCTGGCCAGAGCTGCAGTGGGGATCATCAGCCTGGGGGGATGCACAGATCAACTCGGGTGGAGTCTCAGGCTTCAGCAAAGGGACCATTTTGGAGCACTACCAGGGGGATACCCATGCCCGGGGCAAAGTCCCCTGGCGCGGACCCCATGCTTCAGGAGTATCACCCTTCCTCTGAGCACTCCAGCCCCACTGGATACGCTTCTGTGTCAGTCCAAATCGCCCATTTCCCAGCCCAGTGGCAATAGAAGAGGTGACAAAAGGCGGCTCTCTGCACCCTGAGAGGCTGGGGCATTCGCCTGAGAGGCTGGGACATCCGCAGCCTGCCCCAGGGTGGCAAAGGGGACCCCAGCTTTGGGGGAGGGGGCCCTCTGCCTAGATGAGGAGAGCAGACAGCTGCTTTTGGGAGCTGGGGACAGGGAAGGGCCAAGGCAG